AGGTGAAAGAGTTACAAATGAGGTTTAGCACTCCTTACAGAACAAAGGAGAAAAAGTGGAGATTCAAAACAAAAGTGCAGCTTGTGTAGGAAAAGTTTTGAGGGACAGACAGTGGCAGTAAGGGCAAAAATACTCAGGAAAGAGGTGCCCAGTGCCCCAATCCCCTGCAACACAAGCTCCCCAATATTCCCTGGGCATAAAAATACCCCATCACTTCATTGAAGAAGGGGGATTTACATCAGTTAAAGATCTCCGAGCATGCACAGGTCAGCGTCATATCAGCATTTCAGGGAAGCACAAACTGCTGCTTATAGGAATGAGGGCTGTCAGAGCTGTCTTAGCACTGGGCCTGCACTTTGTGGTCGTGAAATCTTCGCTGCACACTAGTATTCAAACCAGACACACACATAATGAAAAAAAAGTGCTATGTCAAGCCAAGTCTGGCATCTAAATCAAAATTCTGCTTGTTGAAAAAAATCCTATCTACTTAATAGCTGATCAATAATGACATACTTTTTCTGATTTGCAGCATTTTTTGGACCTGGTAGATAAAAGAAACACCGCAAATTCTGAGGTAATGTTTTGTTACCTGCAGCTGCAATGTGGCTTACTGCACTATTGCTCTATATGTATGATGTAAGATCACCTGGGGGGAAAAAATATCAGGAAAAGTACAGGTTTTTACTGATTTAGGCTGTCAGTTTAACAGTCTATGATACCCACACAATCCTCTAATGTATGACTGATTTTCAAACAAAATGCACACCGATTTTTATATTAAAAACATATGGAAATATGACATTAGACACTCAGCCTTAATTATCAGCAGCTATTTTCATAATGTCCACTTGAATTTAAGATTGATCAATAACAGAGAAAACTCTGTTATTCCGCAGCATGTATATCTTTAATTCAGAGGATAATAAAACACTTTGATTTGTTTGGTAAAAAAGAATTAAAGAACCAGACAAGATATTAGGAGACAAGAAAAATGTCATTCCTAGCTTCTTCCGTCACTTGAAACACATTCACATATATGCGAATAACTTTGCCAACTTTTAGAAGTTCGGTGCTATTAATTTATTTATTTTTTTTTTTAAAGAAAGTAGCAGTGTACAGTGCTATATGGACCTGATCAGTTGGGTTTGTACGGTCTTGCTTAGTCTGTTTGGGGGATTTTCTGTTTAGACTTTCCAGCAGACCAAAGCACTATAAAGGATGAAATACGCTTGTATAATTTAGGACAATGTATTTATGTAGAAAAAACTTTCAAAAGTTCTAGGCAATGGAAAGTCTATGACACCTGTAACCCCTGCATTGTCTCTGTGGATAGATCTTTTTTCTTAATACTAAATAGGCATACAGTTCTACTTTTTAACTGATTTCAGGTATTCTTAATTAATGCTATAAACCTGGCCTTCCAGAAATAATTAGAGTGGAAAAAAACTTTGGAAATGTTAATTCTGCAATCCACAAAAGCAGATGGAGCATTGACTTCTCAAGCCTTAATAAATCTTTCCTCCCTCATAGTCTAAACATACACATTTCCTTTCATCATATATTCCTCCTCCTTCCAGCTTCACTGCTCTCACTACAAGATGCCTCTCCATTAATACTGAGTTGTAAATATACCAATAATTAAGGGTCATATTCAGCGACAACAGGAGCCTTTGGCACAGAGGTACTCTACAACATTTCAGGTGACTGATTGCCTTTCTGGAATACCAGTCAAATGAAGGCAATACCTACACTGATAGCATTGCCCTGTAAATATATTACATATAATATCAACAGT